TGGAAAAAGACGGTGTGGTTGTTTCAAGGAGCAGAATACGGTACTCGCACAAAAATGAGATGCATGATCGAATTGCCAGAAAGAAGCTTTTTTTGCACCAATGCCACAAAAAAGCCCAGTTACAATATACCCAACAATACCTTAACACATCTCACCGGGCTTTTCTTTGTAACTCAAACAATTCTTCTGGCAGTTGTGGCTGCAATCTCTCTTGGTCTACCTGACCTTGGCTTGGTATTAAGAGATCCCCGAATTTTCCACTTCTTAATAAGTGATTGAACAGTACTGACTGGCATATTCAAGGTTTTGGATATATTTTTTATTCTTTTCCATCTTTATAAAGTTCCTTTATATTGTTGCGCAGGTCTTTTGACATACCTGACATGGGTTCTAACCCTCACTCACCCAAAGTGACAAAAAAAAAACCCTTTAGTTACACTTTAAACTCCATGCCCAATGTGTCCATCCAGAACACAGAACTACATTTTATCACTTAGGGCAGGTTCATGCTTGTATGATGTGTTAAAGCAGCCCATCCATTTAAAAGGGGTTGCCAACACACCTTATCATATCCAAAAACACACCAGACCCTTTTTATGGGAACACAACACACAGCAGTTGCCATACATGAAAGTGAACATGCGTTCCCCAAGTGCATTCAAAATAAATGACATGTGCAGCACAACAGTGCGACCCTGGCCTTACAGACTATATGCCAACAGTGCAAAGTGTGCACTGATTGAACAAATAGTAATGACAACAAAGCTCTGTAATTCACTAAACAACTATATATCTGTGCGTAAACAATTGGCAGCATTAACAGAAAATGAGGAACACTTTCCTTAGTAGAGTCAATAAGAGGTGAAGACATCTCTTTAATAAATGATATGGGTATTCAGCTCCTGCAACACTTTGTCTGTACTAGGTTTTGTTAAACAGAAACAATAAAACACAAGTTTAAAGTCCACTGAAAACTTTAGCTAGAGACAGATTAAAAGGCTGTGAGTGTTTAAACATACCAAAAAAATTAGACGGCTCAGCAGGAACCAACAACCATCTTCTAACGAACAGCCATGCTGGAAAACCAGCATTCAAAAAAAAAAAAAAAACCTCAGTGTGTATTTTCTGCTTTACAGCCTAATTTTATTGCCAAGTACAATGATCAAGACCACGAGGATTTGACATATGAATTGATACAGAGACTTGAGCTTCAGCTTCTGTGAATAGGAAGTCAGTGATTTTGCTGAATGCAACTCTTCAAGCCCATCAAGTAGTCACAATGATGACTGACAACAGAGATTCCCAACTGATTCAGTACACACAGTAAGGCTAGCTCTTGTAATTTATATAATTCAGTGCCTGAACTTGGTTGACACGCAAAAGACCATTATTATTTCTAATTCAGTACAAGCCAAAAAGCAGTGTTAACCAATTAATGGCAGGCCTCATGCTGGAGGCCCAGTGGTTAGAGAAACATTCAAGAACCTGCAGTAAACAGACAGCATACTGTGCCGTTCAAAAGTTACCTGCTTACTTGTTTGTTCTTATTACACTTTCTCTAAATAGGCCATTGTAAAAAAGCAAGATCAGGAAAACTTTTAGTTCATGTATTTGTGTCATAACCTATCTCATAACTTTTTACTGCTCATCATTCATAAATGATAAACAGTTTCACAAATTCTGGGGTCAACTCACAAATTAATCTATTGCATGTGATATTGGTGTGTATAACAAAAAATTGCATGAGATATTTACTGTCAATTCACTACAGTTAAATGACACAAATGCAGTCATTACCTGTGGTAAATATGGCAAAAATTTAATATTACATTAAATGTACTATCTATCTACACACACACACACACACACAGTACATTCACTAACTACTTCATGATGTCATTACACCCACATCATAAAAAACTATCAATATATGCTGCATTACAAGCTCAGTCACTATGGAATTAGTTTTCTGCATTCTGCCAAAAAAAAACTGTCTGATCCTGCTGTTCTGTCTCCCCCTCCCGTCCATGTCCCACTGCAGTTTTGCATTACAGTGTTGGCAGCTAGAGCACATGCTACCTTTCCACATCTGAGCAGTCCATGTGACTATAGAGTCAAACGTGGGCATATGCACAGTGGTAAATGATATCCCACTCCCTCCTCCATGCCCTCTAACCAGCCAAATACAATGGGGGGAATATTACATCTTGATTGATGGAGGTTTTGCCTCCCTGTTATTCTAAGACACAGGTAGGTGGAGGGGGGGGGGCAGCCTGTGATTGACAGAAATTCACCCACACCATGTTATTGTCAAAAAATACTAAATATTTTGATTTCAAATATTTCTTTGTATGACAATTTAAACTGTGTATTCATTATTTATCTTAATTCTATCAAATTTTATTTTAAACATGTGACTAGTAGCAGGGGACTGTAAGCTCTTTCTGCCACTGTTTCCATGCAGACAGGCTGGGAAAGAGCTGGGTCATGTAACAGCTGTATATCAACAGGAAAAAAATGTACTTGCCATCGTTCACATACAGAAAGAGAAGGGATAATGTCAATTAAACAGTGTGTGTTCAGTATTGCTTTAAGGAGTGTGCAAAATAAGATTTCAAACATTTAGCAGTGGTATTATTACTTGCGGATAACTCTTGAGAACTTTCTAGCCAAAGTGTTAGCCACAGGTAAGGCTACAATTAAGGATAACAGCTTCAAGTTAATTTCAAAAATGGGTTCAAAGAAATGTTTTGAATACTGACAAAACTAGATGAATGACCCATGGTTGTGGAAGCCAAACAGGAGGCAAGGAGGTGCAACATGTGCAACCTATTGTGCAAGTCAAAGAATTATTAGCTAGAAAGCAATGAAAACACTGGAGAAGGGAAACACTTGACCCTGGGAGTGCTAACAGTCAAATATTGTTCTAGTCATAACGGAAAAAAAAGAAATACCACAGACCACTGAAAAGACATGTTGGTTTCCACACAGTCAATATTAAATCTTGTAGGAAGTAAATTTGTAAACTACCTTTATCATGTTTTAACCATAGGCGAAGAGTCTAAAATGCCTGTGTCTATAAACCTGGGTTTCAACAGAAAGACAAGAAAATCCATTGACTGAAAAGACATGGTAAAAGTTTGGTCCTTGGGAAAAAAAAACACATCTTGCTGATGTAGCAGAGGCCATAGCACATTAGCTAAAGGACAAATGAGATCAGCATGCCACATTCTCCAAGGCCAATAGAGAGCTCAGCCTCGATTTTGAAAGACAAAGGAAAAACCTGCAGTGAAGGAAGGGCACACGGCAGGGAATACTGATCCCATGGTGTCATCAGGGTATATTCCACATCCGCCATCAGGACCTGTGTCCTGAAAACTAAAAGATGCTGGAAAACCCACAACACAAACATGTGTGGACACACCTCTGGATGGAGAGACCACTCCTTTGGTTACAGATATCATCTGCTGAGAAATGTCTGCCTGTCAAACTTCCTCCCAGGAACGTGCATCATGGAAATCATGGAAAATATGAATATGAAACCTCCATCCAGGATAGGCTAGATTCAACCTCTGATGCCCCTGCAACACCCCCTGAAGAGTGATGTAAGTCACAGCTGTGGTATTGTCCGACTGAACATGAACTGGATGACTGGTCACAAGCAGGAGTCCAGTGAAATATGGACAAATTGCTTGTAACTTCAGGACATAGATCGGAAAATTCAATTCTTTCTAAAAAAAAAAACCCTGAACACAGACAGAAGGCAAAGAATTCTACCCCAATCCAGAATGTTTGGTGACCATAAGAAAAAACCTTCCAATGTTATGGGAGGAAAAAAAACCCTGCCCTCCAACACAGCTAGGTACACAGAAAGCTTGGTTCAAGGATTCAATAGGATAAGCATGTCCAGAAAAGACGTCACTCATATGCAAACAAAGCAAATTGTAAAAATCACTAACCTCCCAAGAAATGACACTTCATTAGTGTTAGAAAATTGTTCAAAGCTTAAAGAATATGTAAACCCAACATTTCATATTCCTGGTATCTTCCTACTGTACCATGTACTTGTAAGAAAAAGTATCCTGATCTTTTTGTATTGCTTCCTTTGTGTCGAATCCCTGGTGTTCCTGCCAGTTCAGATTAGTTCATCACTTAAAATACTGCTAATTTCAGACTAGTGGTAACTGAATTACAGTGAGGTGTCTATTAGGAATACAGCAAACAATTTTATGGCATGATAAATTTGTGACAACTGGAATATACAGCAATGTTTCTTACACTATGGGTCAGAACCCAAATTAGGCTGTGATGGGTTTGTGGATGGATGCCTCATGACTGTGTGGTAAAGGTACCCTAGTTTGTTCAAGTTCAATATTTCTGGTGACTGATAGAGCACATATCTAGGTTTTAAACTGTGTACTGTTGAGATGTAGCCTATAAAGAATTGTTTTTCAAAGAAAGAATTATACAGAACAAGCTGAGTTGGATCCCAGTGCTAGCTGGACTAAAGAAATAGTCAATGGTGCTCACAATTTGTTCTACAGCTACTGTTATTTTTGTTTGCCTTATGCAGGCCATAGACGGGTCGTTTATCGGCCAAATTTTCGGCCGATAAATGAAAAATCAGTCGTTGCTGGCAAGGATGCTGCCTCCAATGTCCACGAAAAACGGCCGATTTTCCAGCATGACCGATAAACGAGAAGATCCGCGAAAAAACGGCTGACGGTATTGCCCCTCTAACAGCATGAATATTGGCCGATTTTTCGTGCGGACGAAAATTTGGCCGATAAACGACCAGTCTATGGCCTGCATTAGCTGGCATTCTGATAATGATTTTCTTCTTGGGTCCTAATACTGTAAACAAATCTGGCACCCAATTAGGAAGTTTAACCACCTTCCGCCCACCCTATAGTACAACGACGGGCGCAAGGTGGTTCTGATAGGACGTCATATGACGCCCTACCATTCTCACTGCGCATGCAGGGAGCGTGCAGCACGGCGATCGCCGGTCCGCTGTGTCCCTCGGACACAGCGGATCACGGAAAGAGCCGAAGATGTCGGCTCAGTCATGTGATCAGCTGTGTCCAATCACAGCTGATCACATGTAAACACGGAAATGCCGGTTATCGGCATTTCTCTCCTCTCGAGCTGTCACGCTGACAGCTCGAAATGAGAGGAGAGCTGGCAATTCCGCAGAGGGGATATGTACACTGATCATCAGGGCACTGATGATCAGTGTGCCCTGATGATCAGTGTGGCCCCAGAAGTGCCACCTGTCAGTGCTCATCAGTGCCACGTGCCAGTGCCCATCAGTGCCACGTGCCAGTGCCCATCAGTGGCACATCAATGCCACATATCAGTGCCTACCAGTGCACATCAATGCCACATATCAGTGCCCATCTGAGCTGCCTTTCAATGTCACCCATCAGTGCCAGTCAGTGACACCTATCAATGCCAATCAGTGCCACCTATCAGTGCTGCCAATCAGTGCCACCTATCAGTGCCAGTCAGTGCCGCCTAACAGTGCCAGTCAGTGCTGCCTAACTGTGCCAGTCAGTGCCGCCTAACTGTGCCAGTCAGTGCCACCTATCAGTGCCGCCTATCAGTGTTATGTATCAGTGTCATGTATCAGTGCTGCCTTTCAGTGCCCATCAGTGAAGCCTGTCAATGCCCATCAGTGCAACCTACCAGTGCCTCCTCATCAGTGCCACCTATCAGTGCCCATCAGTGCAGACTATCAGTGCCCATCACTGCAGCCTCATTAGCGCACATCAGTGAAGGAGAAAAATCACTTATTTACAAAATTGTATAACAAAAACTAAGAAAAAAATGTTTTTTTTTCAAAATTTTCAGTGTTTTTTGTTTTTTTTTTAAGAAAAAATAAAAATCCCAGAGGTGATTAAATACCACCAAAAGAAAGCTCTATCTGTCTCAAAAAAACGATAAAAATTTCATATGGGTACAGTGTTGTATGACCACGCAATTGTCATTCAAAGTGTGACAGCGCTGAAAGCTGGAAATTCGCCTGGGCAGGAAGGGGGTATTAGTGCCCTGTAGGCTAGTAGTTAAAGTGACCCTGTCACCAAATGTGACTTTTTACAAATAAGCCCACATACAAAAGAAGCATATAAATTATACGACAATTTCATGTTTGCAGCAGCTTGGAAGTGGAGAAGTTGTGGGTTCCCTGGAAATAGAAGTAAATCAATGATTTTTGGGGGGCTTTTTTTTGTAAAAGTGACCCTACAGTGACACTTTACGAACCCATGTTCTACAGAATTGGAGAGCAGATGAAATAGATGAGGTAACTGAATCAGGCAAGATAGAATCACTGTTGTTTTCTGTATATGTACCGCTGTCAAAATGCTACAAATCATAGCATTACCGTATTAACAGAATTAAACACAAGTCTATCTTACAAAGCTGATGAGGAAAAATAATTAGCACAACATAAGTCTATGCCTGACGTGCCAACTTGTAGATCCATCAGTGTTACTTATCACACAAACAAAGCACAAATACCTGCTAATCGCCTCCTTGTACTGATCTCAAACAAATAAAGTAAAAACAAACAGTTGTCAAAGCTGATATTTGGTTACTTTTAAATGTTTTAAAGAGTGTTGGATCAGGCAAACTGTGACAGATATGAAACAATATTTGACAAGAATAAAGGTACCCCAAAAGAACCTTTGCCAACCTATTGCCTATAACATCTTCATGTCTTATAAGAACTGCCTGTGATGAAGGGGGGTGTCTGACCACTGCCCTCTTCACAGACTTGTGAAAAAAGAATGATCAATCTCACACCACGTTTTCACTTATGCAACAATGGCACTTTCAGCCCCACACTGCACAAAGATTTTCCAGCTTGAGGGACCACAATCTAGGTGCCAACAGACTGAGAGCGATTCTTACTGGGTTTAGTTAACTAAGCAATTCTCTGCTGGCCATGGGAGGAGCCTGAACATGGCGGCGGCAGAGAGCATGCGATAGGAGCTCTCCGACAGGACTCCTCCGTCCAGACCCTCCCCAGCTACCCCATACGGGAAGAGGCATGAGCGGCCGAAGAGGTACCTGGAGAGTGGGGTAACCGACGGCAGAGTGGAACCCTGGTGCGGAGACAGAGAGGAGCTGTTGATGCGGGCTAGGTCTACCCGGCAGCCCGGACCTCGGCAAGTGAGAGAGCCGGGAAGCCGGGTTGCCGAGGTGACAGGAGGGCGGCGGGACCATGTGACCAGCCGCAAAGGAGTGTTGGGAAAGGAGAAAGCCGGCTGGCGTCTCACAAGAGGCAGGGAGAGACAAGGCGGCTTCTCCGAGTACCCCCCTTGCTGAGCCTGCACCGAAGGGGGGAAAGGGAAAAAAAAAAAAAAACAGATACCTGCTGATCCAGGAACCAAAGACACCCCTAGAGGAGAAGATATAAGAGGGGGAAAAGTTAAAGGAAAGGACCCTGTGGAATCCCCAAGCAAACTGAGTGGAACTACAGACAGCAAGCTGGAGCCAGACCGAGGAGAAGGAGGGGTGAGCTGGGTGAGTGGAAGCTGCTGAAAACTGAAAAAAATAACTCATAAAATTGCGGGTTATTGTTTCCTTTGTATTTACTTGTTGCATGTGACACAACAAAATAGAAAGCAAAAGAGAAGAGAAAGGAGGGGATTCCCAGGGTATCTGGAAAGAGAGACTAATTTAGTAACTGAAGCAGGAAAACTAGAGGATAACCTAACAGGAAAAAAGGGGACCCTATTATAGAAGTATACTATTTAATAACATATGGAAAAATAAAAGAACCCTATAGAAGACATGAAGAATAAGAGCATTAAAGGAAGCGGGCTTAAAGGATCCCAATCAGGAACAATTAAAAAATATACATCGCAGGGAAATATAACCCCAGAAAGACTACAAAGTACAAACGGGAAAAGAGAAGGGGACATCAGTCTGGAAAAAAGTCCTAGATTATCATTGGGCTTGGATGCCACTAACCAGCAGATATCAGAAATAGCGGAGGGGAGAGAAATGGAAAGTGACCTACAAGCACCAAATAAAAAAGAGATGGCAGAAATGTTTGAGGCCTTAGAAAAGATAATAAAGAATGAAATGGCAACTATACGGAAGGATCTGGGGCAGGTGCTGACAAGAGTGGAGGAAATGGAAGGAAAAGTAAAATATCAGGCCCAGAATATATCTCAATTGGAGGAAAAAGTAAAAAATATGGAGAAAACGCAAGTAAAGCTGCTGTATAAATTGGAAGTACAAGAAAATAGGGACAGGAAGAAACCTAAGGCTGAAAGGAATCCCAGAGACTATAGAAGGGGAAATATTACAAAAAGAAATATGTAAAATTTTAAATTCCATATTGAATAGAGCTGCGTCAGAGGTGATTAAAACAGATGGCGTTTGGAGAAAAGGAAAGTTTCAAAGTGGCGGGAAGGAAAAACCAAGAGATGTAATAGTCCAATTACACAGATATGGAGATAGAGAAGAGATCTGGAGGAAGATTAAAGGAAAAAAAATGATTAAATATGGGAAATGGACATTCAGATCTTTGCAGACCTTGCACCAGAAACTTTGTGGAGAAAAAGAACTTTGAAACCACTGACAGAGCAGATGAGAAAAAAGAAGGTGTTCTATAGATGGGGAACCCCAATTTGTCTGATTGGGTGGAAAAATGGGATAACAGCCTACCTGAGATTCCCAGAAGATATGAGAGACTTTTGTGAAAAACTTGAGTTGCAGAGGATGGAGATCCTTGGATGGGAAGAAGAAAATAAAGGAGGAGAAGCAAGACAAGAGGAATGGCAGACTGTTAGAGGGAGAAAGTAGAATTAACTACTGTCCAAATAGAGATTTTCCTGAGATTTTCCCTAGGGGTGAAACCGCGGATTGTTAAAAGTAAAGAAAGAAATGAGATAACGGATGGGAAGAGCTGGGGAGGAGGGCGAAGGAGGAGGAGCTGTCCATGGACAGAGTTCAAACCCCAAAAATAATCAACAGTGGTTCTTAGAACCACAAATGATTAGTAGGTATATTAGATGCCTAGTGGTGGGGAGGGGGGGGGGGGTGGGGTGGGGGGGGGTGAGGTTAGGGGGGAAAAATGGGGGGGTGGGGGGGGGGGGGGGGAGGGAAAGGCGAGGGAGGGGGGGGGGGAGGGAGGAGGGGGGCGGGTTGGGAGAATGGGAGGGAGGGAGGAGGGGACGGGAGTTGGGAGGGAGGGGAGGAGGTATTGCGTTAATACTCTGCATGACAGAAGGGATAAAGAGGAAGAGGCAATCTGGAAGAGAGATGAGAGTTAATTGGGAATGATGGAAGAAATACAGTTTATAACCTATAATGTGAATGGGCTGAGTTGTCCAGGGAAGAGATTTAGGTTGTTTAATGAGTTACATCATAGGGCTACGTCAGTGGTATTTTTACAGGAGACGCATTTTGAGATAGAGGCAAACGTGAAATTGAAATCCAAACACTACCCAACATGGTACTATGCAGATTCTCCAATTAAAAGAGCAAAAGGGGTTGCAATAGGTTTGGCAAAGAATATGAGATTTGAGCTGGAGGATAGAAGAACCGACCCGGAGGGGAGGTTTTTATTCTTAAAAGGTAGACTTCAGGGGATTCAGTGTACTTTAGCCAATATATACTGCCCTAATAAAAACCCGGAGATGTATATGAAGGGTCTGTTGAAAAAATTAATGGAATTTAAAAAAGGGCGCTTGATAGTAGCTGGAGACCTAAATTTCTGTATGGACCCACAAAAGGATAATACCTCTTCCGTGCAAAGAGAGGGGAGTAGGTCTCTGAGAGCTTTGAAAAAAGTGATGCATGAATATCAACTAGTGGACACCTGGAGAATAATGCATATGAAAGACAGAGACTATACCTTCTTCTCTAATGCACATACTCGAGATTAGATTACATCTTAATAGATCATCAACTTATAGATCATCTGGTTAAAATTGACATAGAGACAAGGACGTTCTCGGATCATGCTCCGGTCGTAATGAAAATGGGATGGGGAAGAAGGTGGACTGGAGGATTAGGGTGGAGGTTAAATGAGGTTCTTCTTCTGGATGAGGATTTAGTTCGGAGAATCAGGAAAGAGATTAAGGTATACTTTAAGGAGAACGAGACAGAGGAGGTATCGATAGCTACAGTCTGGGAAAGCCACAAGGTATTCATAAGAGGAATCTTGATTGCGGCAGGAGCAAGGAAGAAAAAGGAAAGAAGAGAGAGGGTCAGTGGGCTTTTAAAAGAAATATTGGACTTGGAGCAGATCCATAAGAAGAAAATAACACAAAAGATACGAGATAGAAGTTATTGGATAAAAAAGATGAGCTAGAGAGGTTGATGGATGAGGAGAAGAGAAGAGTATACAATAGGGTTTTGAACGAGAGATATAGATGGGGAGACAGACCAGGAAGATATCTAATGAGAGCTTTGAACAAAAAGAAAAATAGGAACTATATAGAAAAGATAAAAAGTTC